TGTCGCGCGGTTTTGACGGCGCGGTTTTGTCACCGCGCTTTAGTCACACGCGCTTTAGTCTACCGCGGTTTTGTGGTGGAACCCATTTATTCGTTAGGTTCATTAAGTGATGAATTATGTAGGGCTCTTCCATACACAGAAAACCTAATTATCATCTTTATTATAAAGTATAAGCTATCCAGATCTCCGAATATGCCTCCGTAGACCTTCGGTAGAGGAAAGCTTGGGACTGGTCTCCTTCATGTGGGAAAGCAGAGATGCCTCAAGCAAGCAATGGATTTAACTAAAAATTAAAGCTGTGTCCTTGGGAGAATGCAGTCTGGACAAGGTTATCGCATATTGCTTGCAATGGTTTTCAGCTTCTGATAATAACAGCCAGACTGGGGTGAATAATCATAGAGCTTTGCTTAAAGGGAATATCTTTATTGATTCATTGCCTAACTGCATTCATAATGGGACAACAAACAGCCTTATGTCAGCTGATTTATAAGAGGCCGGTTAATGTGTTTTGCTGTTGCATATTATCTTGTTTCGCACTTTGAAGAGCAAGTTTATATATAGCTGTTTACGAACCTGCCTTCTTCTCTCTCTCTTTTTATTTTTTAACCTCCTTAGCTTTCCTATGTGGATGCTGAAGGAAATTCTATTAGCATGGTCCAAATGACATTCCTTAAACTGCTAAGCGCCTCGGCTCGGCAAAACTTCACTTACAACTGTCATCAGTCAATAGCCTGGCATGACGTCTCTTCTGACAGCTATGACAAAGCATTGAGGTTCTTAGGGTCAAACGATGAAGAGATGTCTTATGACAACAATCCGTACATCAAAGTGCTTCATGATGGTTGCGCAGTAAGTATGAGCCTTGGACATTTCTCTGCCAGCTTTAGGTGAGCTTCGTATTCAAATGAACTCAGCTTAATATCTCTCTTGCCCACATCTGTTTCTTTTTTATTGAATTTTTATTTTATACACATAAGCACATCAACAGAACACATAAACACATTAACAAAAAAACCCCACATAACTTAAAAACAACATCCCACAGATTAGGCCTCCTCCGAATTCCATCCGCCGGCCAGTGTCGACTGGCGACTACTCG